AACGGACAAACGTTTTTTAAAGATAGCAACCCCACGCACGCAGAGTAACCATTTGAATTATGAACATTGCGGGATAACTTGACGTGGTCGCCAGAGGTACACGCGAGCTGAGACTGAATACGAAAAACGCGTAACCTAGCATGGCTGCACTGAGACCCAAAGAAGAAAGATTGGTCGTTAGCATGAGTTCTTTTACTGACTCAGCCAAGACAAACATGCATTCTACACCATAATAATAGCTCAATAAAATCACAGTGTAATGCATACACTATAGGGGAAGATGGGTGCTTGAAAGTCACACGAGTTGTTACCCAGTCGTAGTGTCCCGTCGGAAACTCAGTTAGTGTCCGTGTAAGATTGTGTGGCAACAACCGTAGCAGCTGAGGAGATCAGGTGGTTCACTGCGGCTTGGCATGATAAATACATTAGTGTCATGAGAAGAGTTCAGTGGCTTCATCACAGCTTGCATAGCAGGTGCGGCAATGTCCTGAGTAGAGCTCAGCTGGCTCACTGTGGCTTAGCATCAATGTCCTGCGGATGGCTCTGTAGTTACTAGCGCAGTATGAATCACCGTGGTGCCCCATGCTGAGGCTGATGTTGCATTCTTGATGCTTTTTCATCGCAGTTGGGCTAAACCAACTTACACTTAAACTAGGTTTTTTAAGCTGGCTAAATTTGATTCCACTTTATTTGGTTTGTTCTGCCTACCTGAATAATCTTCTATTAACTGACCACGTTGCTTGCACTAATTGCGCTTATCCACGGTAAGTTTGTTGCATTTGTAGCATTTTTCACTAACTTGTGGACATTTTTTCTTTATCGCGGATTCGTTGCTAACCAACTTACTTCATATGCTAATTTATAAGAGTTGTGTCACCGTATCTGTATGCATTATTGGATTTATTTTATTTCATCTTGTCGTTTCAGGTGATTGGCTGTTGCTTGATATCCCCAGTGTGACTGCGCTTGATGTGCATGTTGACAAGGTGCCTACCTGTCTATTACCCACTGCCTCATCCATACTGTCTCTAGGAGATAGTTGGTCGTTGCTGGCGGGGAACGGGTGCACGGTCCTTGTGGCCGCGCTAGGCTCAAAGGGCGCTTCCATGCACTCACTGTGGAGCGGACTACGGTCCAGCCACCGTCTTGTGTGCGCTTGATTCCCAAAATACAGCGTGCTTGTGTGTGCCTGTGAAGGAGTGTGGGCCGGCTCCGTTGATGAAACGTAGCTCCCATCCACATGTCTCCCGGTCTTATTCCTTCGGGTTTACACTGGATATGGGGTGTGTGATTGGAGCTGTGGGTGGTGCAGCGCAAGCCACCCATGGTCCCTCTGTAGGCACAAGCGTCCTGTGGCTGATCACAGTGACAGACAAATCCGAAACCGGATGCCGCCAACCATGAATCACCGTATGGCGATAGTCCAGTGAAATTCACGGAGGTATGCGAGCTCCGCGACACGATTGCTAGGCAGTGACAATCAAGCACGTACTACATATGCCCAGTCACTGCTCAGCAAGGAGAGCCTTGTTTGGTTTGCAAGGTGTACGGTGGCACAAGATTCGGTGTGGTCAACAATTGACTTGGTATCTGAAAATAAAGCCTCTGGTGTCTTCCAAGTTTGAGTCCGCGCGACCCACCTTTTGATTGGCTCGAGACGTTACAGAACATGGCTCACAATTGACATTAGTGGCATGTTTGTTACCGTGTCTCAGTTCGACTACCTGTTTAAAGTGTGTCTGATGCTGCGTTATCTGCGGAGTAACCGCTGATTATGAGGCGGGACAGTGAAAACCACAACACAAATGTTTCGCCGATGCCAGCTAATCCTAATACGACAGCCAGCTGTTGTTGACAAGGAATAGGCGCCTTGACCCTGAACCGTGGCCTTAAGGATCACAAGCCTGCTTTGAAACCTGAAGCTCAGTGGTCTCAACCACGGATTCGCATTAATCGAGTTGCGGGTTCGAGCCACACCAGTGAGTGCCCTTCTCCATGGGCCGTCTCCTTAGATCCGCCCTCACGCGCAGAAGTCGAACGCGAGATCAGACCGTTGAAATTGCATAAGGCTTCTAGTGCAGAGATAATTCCCCCAGCACTCTACAAATTCAGGGGATCTGCTCTGTAGATGATTTATATGAGTTGCTAATGGAACTTTGGGAGCAGGAAACTGTCCCGACAGACTGGAGCCGCGCCGCCATAGTCCTAATTTACAAGAGAGGCTCCCGTTCGGAATGCGATAATTATAGAGAAATCAGTCTGATCTCAAATGCCTCCAAATTACTTGCCTCTGTCGTTCCCCACAGATTGACTGACGCTCGAGGCCAGATCCGCGAAGTGTTGCAGAACTCAGTACTTCAAGGACAAGCGTTTATTCGGCAAAAACAGCTAAACGAAAATTACAGCATGTTTAGCAAGCCAAACTCCTCGATATAAATTGTATGATAAAGTCTATAACTAACGCCCCTTCTGAGTCGATGAGATTCCTCCTTTGCTTAAGTTAAACAAACGTTGAAGCACTCACACGAATGTCGTCCAATCCGAGCCCAGTAATCGAGTCCGTTACGTCTGCCTCCCAATGGCTGTCTGGCTGATTAGGTTGGTCCATCTGGTCTATCACAAAGAGCAAGCCGGATTTAACCGAAATCGAGGCTGCATCGACCACATCTTCACTTTGCGTCAATTGATGGAGCACCGCCATGTTTCTTGGCGGCCTACCGTCGTCGTGTTTCCCGGCATCAAAGATGCCTTCGGTTCGGTCGATCGATGTGTCCATTGAGACTAGCTGCTAAGAAAAGGTGTGCCCGATAAATGTCAACGTTATCAAAATGCTGTAGGCGCATAGTTCGGGCAGAGTGAAGGTTTAGGGCACCCGTGTGAGAGAAAAGGTTGCCCGTTGTCACCTTTCCTATCTAACTTCGCTTTTGATGTAGTCATGGAAACAGCGTTCACTGGACACGAACTAGAAGGTAAGGAGTTACTTCCTGGTGAGCGAATTCGTGACTTGGAGTACGTGGACGACATTGCCCTCACATGTGACAGCGCCCAAACGTGCCACGCTGCACGGGCTGTCAATCGTTTTGGGCTATGCTTTGCTCCATCGAAATGCAAAGTACTTCTCCAAGATTGGCGGGGACCCAATCCTGCGCTAACGCTTGGTGGTGATCTGCTAGAAGTCGTTTAGGAATTCAAGTATCTGGGCAGCTATAGTAGCGCCCGTGAGATTGAATATGAAGTTACGAACCGAATAGCAAAAGCTCGAGGTGTTTTTGCCAATCTCCGCCACCTGTGGAGCAGACGCGACATTACCTTGCCCTGAAGAGCAGAGTTTATAACGCAGCCGTCCGTTCAACTCTCCTATATGGTTATGAAACCTGGCTTATCAGGTCGACAGACATAAAGAGGCTAGCCACATTCGATCATCGCTGCCTTCGCAGCATAGCTCATGTCTAATGACAGCACCGCGTGAGTAATGAGCGTGTTCGGCGTCACGTATTTGGTGCAGGAAGAGCGAGTAAGCCGCTCAGCACCACTATATTACGCACCAGGCTCCGATGGCTGGGCCACGCGTTGCGCATGTCAGCACACCGACTTCCGCGATGTGTATTGTTTGCGCGCCGGTGTGTGGTTGGAAGAGGAGGGGAGGCTAAGCGATAACTTGGTCAAGCAGAATGAAAACCCTCACTTGGAAGTTGGCGTCGGTTGGTGCATCCGGACTGCCTGGCTAGGGTTCTAAGGACGATGAACAAGTTCGGTTGGACACACATGCTGATATAACGAAGAGCAGGCTCCAGATCATGTGACCGAAAACCAAAAGATAAAGGTGATGTTAGAGCGTGAGATGACTGGCAGCTACGTACAGAATGTCAAACCAGCGCCAGGGCAAAGACGTGAGAGATTCTTAAGTTGTTCTCCAGTCTCCAATCGTTTATGCTGTGGGCGAGAGCGGACAAAAAGATAAGAACCGCCAGGTGGGGACTCTCGCAAGGAAAAGGCCGGCTCATGACACATTTTGGGTTAAGAATCAGAGAATACGGTAGGTGACAGATTGGGTGAACGGAACCGCTGCGGAGCCAGTGGACAGGAGGTCAATAATCAACGGTCATCTACGTGAGCTGATCACAACTGAACGGACCGAATGGACGGGTATCAGCAGTACGCTGGGATGCAGTACCGACGATTTGTTGCCGTTCAACCATCAGTAGTCGCGCGTGAGCTAAGGATACTGAGACCGTCGCCTGGTCCCTTATGCAGACGCGAATCCGCGCCCTCGGATTACAAGGCAAAGCTGTCGTCCTTTAGGTCACAGGCTAGCAGAACTGGTTTAGCCAAGCGTGAACGAATCGCAGTGTGACCACAGACAAGGAAGAAGTGGACTGGTTGGAGTAACAGCAAGCGGAAAGTGCGAAACTAAGACGACGATAAACGGAGGAATAGCAAACGAGAACTAGGCGGACGGAAAATCAATCAAATGCCACCTACATGAACTGATAGCAGCTGTGTGAGGCGAATGGGTGGTGCAGAATTGATTCCGCTTAGTATTAATGGAGCTCAACATGTACCTTGACAAGGCAAGCGTGGATTTGAAGTGGTGGCGACGGAACGGCAGCTGTGAGCCGAAAAAGTTAATCAGATAATGTAGGACCGAGAAACAAATTAGACAGTGAAAATCAGCTGTAATGGAACGGCAATTTTAATTTGTTTAAGGTATAAATGACCAATCTATTTATGAGACATTTCTAGTAGCTATCTAGTTATGTTGACTGTCAGAGAATAAAACAACGAGTGTAACTCTGCAGATGTGAGTAGTTTGAAACGAAAGCAACTGTGTTAACGCATCGAGCATGTAGGCTAGAATATGTGTACGACCCATATTAGTGCGAGTTCAACAAGACCTGTGCGAAAACAATCGGCATCAGAGAGTCTTCACAACCAATACCTTAATATCTATTGATTTCGAGTGCTCTTAAACGGTGCATTAAATAAAGAGAGTCACTTGCCTTGGTTCAGATAAGTGAGAGATGCTTCGTTAAACCGCGTAGCGGACGATGTCGGGGCGTGCAAACATGTCTCAATCCTGCAAATGCTGTTCGGCGGTAAGTCATCAAGAGATGGAAGTGACGGAAGAAAGTGGATACAGAGAATGGCGGTGAGATGAGAGAATAAGGTGAAACCCGAAGATAAAAAACAATAACAAGAATAAACAGAGCCGTAAGTGAAAAGTGCGTATTGGATCCGTAGGTAAACGTTCAGAAAAGAATCGAAGCCTAACAAAACAGTTGCCAAAGCTGGATGGCAAATGTATTCTGGCAGTGACCGAAACGGGGTAAAGAGTGACAGCGTGTTTATTGATTCATCAAAAATAGACTACATGTGGGTCGAACTGTGAATCTAGAAAGCAAACCCAATCTGCTATAGGACAATGCAACTTTAGCAAGTAGCATTGCGGAGTGTGAGCTGTGTCCGATCGGTGTGCAACCAGTACATCAAGCAACTGTTCACCTACAGAGCTAACTAACAGAAGAGGGATCATCAAACGATAAGCCATTCCCAAATACAATGAATGCAAAGAGAGGATGAACGACGTGATAGGGATGATAGAGTTGATTCTTCATACCACGTTTCGGGAAACAAGAGGAAGCCACAGGAACAACTAATCAATAACGGGTGCCGCTTAAAAGGCATCTGGTGTATCGATCAGTCGAGTGATATGCATTGGTAACGAAAACGGATGAAGGTGCTGTGACATGGATATCACAATGACAACAGGTGAGTCACAGAGAAATCACAGAACGCAAACAATTTGGTGCGCTGATAGCCTGAAACCGACTTAGTATGGTGGGAGAGGCTACGGTGTAGACTGTTTAAAAACATTAAGATATAAACCAAAACACTGGACAGGAAACCAGTTGGGTATGGAACAGTCATTGATATACGGGATAGAGTAAGGGAAACCTGAGACGGTGCGAGAGATTGAACAGAGGGCAATGCGAGTTCTAGATCGAAACGTGTCACAAAATGATAGTGCAAGAAGGAAACGCCTATAATAATATGCCGGAGACAATCCACTGGTGTTGTGTTGATGAGAAGAGGATTTAACAAGATAGCACGGTAGCAAACCTCTAGTGTAGAGTGAAATCGTTGAAGAGTGAGCCTTATGAAATCGGAGTAGGGAAATGTGTGTATCGGTGAGGCACGGGGTAAATAGTACGTCGCAAATCTATCCCTGCAAAACTAATGACCATTGTAACGTGTGGAGGAGATTACTGTACGCGTCATAGACAGAGAGTGTTTTCTTTCATCACATGAGCCAACGAAGAATTGTCCATATATGATGAAACTCCCGAGCAATGTGGACGACCGTGAAGCGCAAACTGTCTATAAAGTTTATGGCATGCCGCTTCACGTCCAATTACTTATGCATTGGTTGATAAAGCAGCCCTTAGTTGAATGAAACGTAAGAGTGGATAGTCAAAGTAATATGAAAAACGGTAAGATAACTCGGATGAGAAGCTGTGTAGCGCTGATGCGTCATGTTTTCCTAACTAAGGGCCACTGGATCGACATGTGTCATTAGACAGACGAATCGACGAAGTAATTCAACAAGTCAATTGCGCTCGTGAATTCAGGATAGTGTTTTAACTGCTAACAAGTAACGTGCTCAGACCAGTCTCGAAAAGCGTTTTGTTTCGTGGTCCCGAGTCCCTCCCACTTCTGTCAGTCTTAATCGCGATATCGACGCGATTAAATGTAACGGGATCCAGCGTAACTTTGTGGACAAACTGAAAAAAGAATAGTTTTGAGCGAAGTAAGTGAAATGGACTTTGCAAACGCAGGTAACGGTGAGTGATCAGAGAGAAAGAGTGCAACTTGAAGATTTACTGGTCGTTCGAGCTGTTGCAGGACGTGCCAGAAAACGACCTCTAATCGGTTCCTAGTGGAGCATTGACGATATCCTTAGTACGCCGGAACACTGTACCAACGCATCGCTGCCAAGCAATCCCATAGGCTACATACCCGTTAGGATACAACGACGTCGACGCGCCTATGTAGGTTCCAACCAGTGATCGTTAGATTACAAGCCAAAGGTATGGAACACTCCAGCACCGGCGGTGTGCAACTGCACTCCGCGGTAGAACTGGGTGAGGCTTATTGTTATAATGTACTTAAGTGAGTGCTCTTCGACAGTGAAGTTCATTCGCTGGGGATGCATTAAGCAATTCCTGAAAAACGACTATGTTACTCCGGTTGTTAGCTAAACTAGACATACTAGCTCGTCGGGGTCCACGAAATCGACAGATGTAACGATGAATTGCCTAATGTTTACAATGGGTGTAGATCCAGCCGAACCTGTTGATGTTACAGAGAACACATAACGACGAGCAGTCCACCGATATAGTTGAGGCTTTAGTCTCCAAGGCACCCACAAGCAAAAAAGTTGAGATTGAAACAAGAGAAGGATTAGAAATGTGCAGCTACAGCAAGATACATCAAACTGCAAATGAAAGCAACCACATCCGAGCAGAGATGGGTTAGGGTGGCAAACAGGCACTCAGTTGAATAGAAGCTGGCTGGTCGAACAACCTCATCGTGGTGCCAGCTGGGTGGTAAGGGATTGTCCCGCCCCAGCGGATGGTTCGGTAGCAGTGTTTCGGGTAGTGGATTTTCGTCTTGGCAATCGTTCCCCCAATAAAAAGCCACTGTTGGGTGGCGGATGTGAATCTCCATTAAATAAAGTCCTTACCCCTTGCTCCACACTGAGTGGCATTGTATCTTAAGGGTGTGTTGGGCCCCTGTTCTTCTGCAGGACCTAAAAGCGTATGAAGCACTTGTTTGGTCACCGGCTCCAAACGGCTTGCGACGCCTTCATATCGCTCTGTTGCCTTGTAGGTTAGATTCTGCATCAAACGCCTGGGGTAGCATCCCTTAAGACAACCCTATACTTCAACTTGGACAACCGGGTAGTATAACGTCCACTGATGAATCATGAACGGACAATACAGCTGCTTTCAATCTTACTTTCTACCTACTGTACTGTCCCTACTGTTGAATTTCCACTCACAGATCGTCTCACGTCCCATTATTCAACTAGACTCAGGTCCTCCTCTGTCACCGCCAACAGCAACTCACTGGTCGCACCTGACGGAAGTCAGAGTCAACACGCTTGATGTTCGATGCCCGGCGACCACAGCCTCTTCACACTCCAGCGGTCCCAGATTTTCTTCGACCTAGTTCTCCATTCAGCCTCGAAGCGTTCAATGTTCGCATCCTGATGCAGATCGGACGGCATGCCTGACCTGCACTCTTGAGACGATTCCGGTAGACATAGGTTGCCTCTCAGAAACTAGATTGTAAGATTCTACTACCGTCATCAGAATGGCCTCTCATGCCAACCCTGACGTCAGATACCATTTGCGACTTTTCGGTGACCCAGAGGTTGCCGCTTCTGGCCAGGCTGATGTTGGGGTTGCACTGAGTGACAAGACTGAGACCGCGCTGGTGGACTGGATCTCAGTTAACAGTCGGCTATGTGCAGTCAGACTACGAGGTTCATGTAAGTTAAGTACGCGTCGACGTGTTACGCGCGATTCATCTGTCGTCTCCGCCTATGCTCCTACGAACTACAGCCTGGATGCAGTCAAGGATTGCTTTTATCAACAAGTATATGAACTTCTGCGTTCCGCTAAAATGTCTGATATTGTCATTCATGCAGGAGATTTAAATGCACGAGTGGGCCACCTGACGCCAAGCGAGCACCATCTTGGGGGTAGTTTTGGCTTCGGTAGCGGCCGATCAGACAATGGAGACAGAATACTGACTCTTTGTTCTGATCATCGCTTGTTTCTTTCAAGCACCAGTTTTCGACAATCGAAGAGACACTGCTACCTGGCACCCTCCTTCTCGAACGCAAGAGTGCTCCCAGCTTGACCTCATAGCGATAAGCTACGGATGGCGCGGAAGCGTATCAGACTGCTGTTCGTACTGGTCAACTTGTCTGGACTCTGATCCCGCAGTGGTTCGGGCTAAGTTATGCATGAGTTTCGGAGGACCGTCTAGGCGTACGCACTACCAACCGAGCGTAGAAAACCCTACGACCCTATGAAGTTAGGCAAATATCGGGCCTCCCTGTCAACACGGTTTACCCCAGCTTCTGATGATGATCCGAATTCCCAGTGAATGCGAAACAAAAATGCCTTAGTTTCTGCCAGCAATGATAGTTGAGGAGTCACCCAACACCCGCCGAAAAGCTGGATCACTGCTATTTCCTTGTCGCTCATGGACAGACGTCGTTCGATCCGGGCCTATTCTAGCTTTAGTGAAGAAGGACGATCTTTAGATCAAGAATTGCGCAGGGGTCTACAAAAGGACCGTGAAACCTGGTGGTGTGAACGTGCTAGAGATGGAACAAGCTACCCTTTCTGGTAAAATTTAAAAACTTTTCGATCTTATCTGAGCCACCGAAGATTTCCGACCTGGTGTAAGCGAAACGAGTTGCGAAGAGGATGGCCCACTAATCAATAGTCTTTAACGACGGTTGGACGATGGGCTGAGCACACTGGCTCGCAATTTTGCTGGTCACCAGCTCCATCTGCTTTCCATGGAGCGCTCACCGGTGCTGGGGGTTTGTCCCCACAGATCCTCCCCCTTAGCAGAAAATTTGGAAGGAACTCCGCCTCTTGCAAAACTATAAACCACCAGACCCTGATGGCTTACCTGCCGCCATATGTAGAAATGGCGGCTATTCGCTGGTTCGATAACTTAGCGTTTTGTTCGCAGAAGTTTGGCTGAAAGAGGGGCTTCCATGAGTTTGGGGTGAGTCGATTGTCGTCCCCATCCTCAAAAAGGGCCCGCGCACAATGTGCTCCAACTACAGGGTTCTCAACCTGGTTCCCCTCGTCTGTAAGCTTCTGGTGTTTATCATACTTCGAAGGCTATCTTCAATGCGCGAGTCGCCACAGCGGGAAGAAGAGTTTGAGTTCCGTTCTGGCCGCGGCTGCAGCGATCAAATCTCCACACGCTGCCAGATCCTCCAGCTCCACTATGTGTACCAAAAGCCAACGACTATTGTGCTCCTGGATACACGCACACACATACACACGATTATGTCGACATGTCTGCATTAAGACACTGTTTGTTGAGGAATGGCGTCCCCGGGAAGTTCATTTCCGTACTGCATACTATGTACAGTCTGACCTCGGATGGAATTAGGGCATATGGCAAGCTTTCGTCTTCCTTTGTTGTCACTAGTGCAGTTCGACAAGGATGCCCTATCTCCCCATTGCTTTTCAATCTTGCCATTGAGGATGTCCTAAAGAATGCTTTGAATAATTCGCTGAGCGCTGGCCTTGAGCTTCTCCCAGGTAGCCGAGTTGTTGACTTTGACTGTGCTGATGATATCGCCTTGCTGGGTGACCGTCCACAGGCCGTCCAACTTGCACTCAACCGCTTAGCGATTGAAGCATCAAAGTTAGAATGACTTTTTCCCCATTCAAGTGCAAAACATTTTTCCAAGACTTTCAGATGCCTGTACCTGCATTCACTCTTGATGGTGAGACATTGGGGCTAAACGGAGAGTTTTGCCTATCTGGAAAGTTGCATCACAGCCGGTGGAGCTGTTGGAGACGAGATTTTGATGCATATCTCAAGATCTCGCCTCGCTTTCTCTAAGCTGAGGGCACCTGTGGCGTCGCCATGACATCCGTCTCTCCACCAAAGAACGGGTTTATTGTGTGACTGTCCGTGCTGTACTGTTGCACGGTTGCGAGGCTTGGCTTGTGGGTACAGTTGACCTACGCCGTCTCACTGTTTTTGAGCACCATTGCTTGCGGTCCATTAGTCGTATGTGGTGGCGCCACCACGGAACCTATGTGGAAGTTAGACAGTATGGAGAGGCTTCATACTGTAAGATAAATGTTTTTTTTCGCTAGCATAGTGTACCAAATCAGGTGCGGAAGCACGACACTTTTGCATAAGCAAAAGCAGATTGATGCTCGCTCTTCCACATCCACGGGACCTTTTTGCGTAACAGTTCGTTCAATGGGTACATTGCAGTCGATGCATCCGTTATGAAACGACGAGTACGACAACGTTCCTAGGAATGACCGTAGTTTATTACGATTCTAGGTTGAATTGCCTGCACAACAGGCGCTATTTTATCTTGCAGGACATGCAAACAGGTTTTGTCCAGTTTGTAACCGAGGCAACAAAGAGATTCCGATAAGAAGTCACATTTGGACTTCTTTAGTTTCAACTCCCCCCTCTTCCAGACGCTCGCAATATGTTTGGACTATCAATGCCACTGCGGCCAGTAACAAGAATATCGTCCAAGTATGCACAGATGAACGGTATACCCTGAACTATATTATATACGATCCATTGCGAAACATTCGGTGATGAATTTATTCCAAACTGGATGCACGTTTACTTGGATATCTATATATATTATACACAAGCTGTGGTACAGATATTGTGCCATCGGAATCATGGCTGAATAAAAAAATAATATGAATAATAAGAAAAGAGCAATAACAAAAGCTTTTTTGTCCATTTTACCACGCACAGTTTTTGAAATTTTTTCGGTTCGTTCTTTTTTAGGGGGAGGAAGAGGGGACATCGCAACAAACCGATGCACACATCCGCCATTGACATCGATCTTGGGCCACGACTTCCAAGGTATTCAACCAGCAAGTATCCGCATCTCTCGGACCCCAACCAGGTAGTCGACAACAACCGGCCGAGGCCAATTGTTTCGTCAGATTTTCATGCGGCTTCTCCATGTTGTGGGCTGTCCACCAGCCCGTCTCTTCCAGCCCTGTCCAGCAACCGCAAACACCGCACGACGCGGGTAACGCTGGACAGGCATGTGCAATACGTGTCCCAAACACCGTAGTTGATGCAGTGAGACGAGCTCCTTGAGCGAGTGGCTTTCACGTCCCAAGACAAGCTGTCTAACTTCCACATTGCTTAAATGGTGCTGCCACCACACACGGACAATGGACCGCAGACAGCGGTGCTCGAAGACGGATAGACTGCACAAGTCATCTTTACGAATGGGCCAGGTCTCGCATCCGTACAACAGTACAGGACGAACAGTTGCACAATAGCCCACCTTTGATGGTGAGACGAATGTCGTGGCGACGCCACAAACGCCTCAGCCTAGAAAATGCAAGGCCTGATCTCGAGATGCGCATCGAAATCTCTTTTCCAACAGCCCCGACAGCAGTGATGCAACTTCCCAAGTAGACAAAGCTCTCCACAACCACTAGTGTCTCACCGGCGAGCATGAGTGCAGGCAGAGGCACATGCCAGTCTTGGAAGAGAGCCTTGCATTTGGATGGCGAAAAATACATACCGTACTTTGATGCTTCAATCGCCAAGCGGTTTAATGCAAGTTGGACGACGTGTGGATCGTCACCCAGCAAGACGATATCATCAGCATAATCCAAATCAACAACTCGACTACCTGGGAGGAGCTCAACGCCAGCATTCAACGAATCGCCTGTAGCGTTCTTCAAGACATCCTCAATGGTAAAGTTGAATAGGAACGGAGAGATAGGGCATTCTTGACGAACTCCACTGGCGACCACAAAAGTAGGCCAAAGCTTGCCATAAGCCTTAACCCTGCCCGAGGTCAGACTATAGAGAGCGCGTAGTATTTAGACAAACTTCTCGGGGACACCATTCCTCAGTAGGCAGTGCCACAGTACTGTACGATCGACAGAATCGAAGGCTGCACGGATATCCAAGAACACTGCAATCGTTGGCCCCTGATTTGCATGGCGGAGCTCGAGGATCTGGCGAAGTGTGAAGATTTGATCGATGCAGCAGCGACCAGGGCGAAACCCAGCTTGTTCTTCTCGTTGCAACAATTCGTTTGTTGGGGATAGCCTGCGAAGTATGGTGGACACCAGCAGCTTGCAAACGACGGGGACTGAACTTACTCCTCTGTAGCTGGAGCAGATTGTGCGCAGACCCCTTTTGAAGATAGGGACGACTACCGATTCACCCCAAGATGACGGAACTTTCTCTTTCGATCAAATTTTCGAGAACAAAGCGATGAGTTCTCGAACCAGCGATGCGCCACAATCTTTAAATAGAACCGGAGGAAGACCAACAGGGCCGAGGGCTTTATAACACTTCATGTGCCGGAGCTCCTGCTCGATTTCCTGGGAAGAGGGAGGATCTGTGGGAGTAGACCACTCGGCCCCAGTGCAAGCGCCAGAGGTAGCAGATGGAGCTGGGGGTCAACAAAACTGCGAGCCAAAATGTTCGGCCCATCGCTCCAACCGTCGTTGAAGATTGGTGATTAAGGTGTCATCCTCTTCGCATATTGTTTCACTTATGCCAGATCTAACACCTTCGGTGACTCAAATAAGATGGAAAGTTTTATTGTATTACCAGAGAGACTAGCAAGCTCCATCTCCATAGCACGTTCACACCACCAAGCTTCGCGGTCCATTTGCAGACTCTTGAACAACTTTCGACCAAGATATTGGCGTTCCTCACTGTGGTAGCTTTTCAATTCACGGCGGTTTAGAATGGTAACCGCCGCCCCAGTATCTAGTTCCATGTCTATCGGCTCATCATCTACCGTCAAACGTATTGTCTAAGAAGGACAGTTTTTGAGTGTCACACTGTGCAAGTACACTGAGTTAAATTCACTGTTCAACTTCTACAGGATCTTTTCTTCATGTAACTCTATCTTGCTTTCAACAGTCGCCCTTGTGCTGTCAGGCCTCATGGTTCGTGCAAGGTTAACAAACGTCGAAAAGACAAACGTGCCCTTTTGTAATCTTCGCCTATGTACCTGCTGACTGTAGCCCAGATACCGTCAAGGACCCATTCTATCAGAACCAGCATGGTTTGCTCTTTAGGGCCCCCAAAACGGACATCATTATTATGGCGGGGGATTTCAATTCGCGTGCTGGTCGTTTGTTACCAAGCGAACGCCCTCTTGGTGGCCCGCATGGATACGACAACTTTCGCTTAGACACTGGTGAAAGACTACTCAGTTTGTGTGCCGTCCACCAACTTTACCTCTCCAGCATGCATTTTCGCCACCCTAGACGTCATGATGTTACCTGGCAAGCTCCATCATCTCCTCAACCTTGATCACCGATTGACCACATCGCCTTAAGTCATCGTTGGCGTGGCAGTATTCGGGACTGCAGAACCTATTGGTCAACATGCGTGGAAACTGATCATGCGCTAGTCAGTGCGTCTATTTGCATGCGTTTTGGTGGCTCGCCTAATACTGAACGAACTCCAATTAACACTGGTAAACTGAAAGACCCCGCCCTGCAATTGGAATATCAAAAGCAGCTTCGTGAGAACCTCACTTCTCCGCCTCCTCGGGACATTGATCAGCATTGGTCGCGATTGCAACAGATTATGTTTTCAGCGGGTTTATTCAGTCGCGGTCATGTTCGTTGCACAACTAAATTTGTATCTCGGACACCTCCGCGGAACTTCTCGACTATCGGCGAGCTATACCCGTCAGTGTGGAGGACGCTGAGCTCCGCCGTTCTAGTTCCAGACAAATGAAAGTGAGTCTTCACCGTGACCGTGAGTCCTGGTGGTCTAATCAGGCCAAGGAAATGGAAGTTGCTGCCTCTGCTGGTTACAGCCGCCGGTTGTTTTATCTCATCAGACCCACCAGACGCAAAGTTCAGGCCATTAGTCAGACCATCTGTGAGTCAGACGGTACAAAGATCACCAACCTAC